CAAGTTTCAGGTGGACCCGAGGAAAAAGTCTTACACAACAGACTTTAAAGCGGGGTAGATGTGAGAACAGTCCATGGGTGAACTCGAGGACGCCCTAAGAAGCTCACAAAGAGCCAAAGATATTCCATCCATTGATCTTTTGGAGGAATATTCCAGAATCCCTACATAGAGATTCTCGATTAAACAAATGCTAATAACCCCCTGTATGCGGATTGGAAGACTATATTGATGATTTCGTTTTTACTAAAAAACTATAAATACCTGACAGTTTTGCATCATAATTGACACTGTTTGAAACAGCATTCTCTTCACTTGTCTTCTTTCTTCTCATTTGCGACTTGTGATGGTTTTAGCGTTCGAGTGCTCAAGTTATACGTGGTATATTAAGCATCTAAGCTCTAGATATAACAGTGAATACCTTTAGTTTAGATACTCCTTGAATAAATCCTAATCTTTTTGATTACTGTCTATAGTTTTACTGCATCTACCACTATAGGATTTAAATCGACAGTTGTATCTCGGTGCTAATGTGGTATGGCAATTTGAACTAATGAATGTACGTACGTACGAAGTTCTACGTTGTTGCTGACTGACTGACTACAGTTTATTAAACATTTAATCTAGATCGATACCAACAATCGAAATTTAATATTTGAGTTGCACTAATCTGATGAAATCTTCAGTATAGTTATTTTTCATATAATGGATAGTTCTATAAAAGACACATTTACAAAGTAGTTAAAATAAATAGTTTGTTCATACAAATTATGTTATCAATGATGTACTGAATATGAGGCATCATTATGAAATATTAGTTTGTTTCTTTTTTGATAGAACAATGAGGTCTAAAAAAGTGTGAGATATTTGCGCCATACATTTCGTACAATCTTATCACATATATACTTGTCAAAGCATTTTAATGCGCAAGATCATGGATTGATTGAAGTTAGACATTAACATCGTTGGATGTCGGCTCAATAGTCTAGAGGTTAAGCGTTCGTGCACGAAACCGGTTCTCTAGGTTTAAGTGCAGCATATGAGATCATGGATACGTGCTAACGAGGAGTCCTATACTAAAAAGAAATAGCCTATCTTAGATCGACTTATGAATTCAACTTTTACAATTACTACAATCTTCACAACCCCCGATTCTGATAATAAACTAGTGAAAGTCAATTATCACGATTTTCGTCTATTTAAACACTCATTTCATTGACCTTTATTAATTTTCACATATAAATGCTTCGATAAGTATGTGTGAGTAGATTATATGAAATGTATAGCACAAATGTATCATATTTTATTAAAGATCAACTCCGTCTTCTTACTGTTCCTTGAAAATTTGTAAACGAGAATAATTGCTATAAATTCCAAGTATAAACGCTTAAAGAGATATATTGGAAAGTCACTTACGATTATCAGTATTGTATTACTTTACTATTAAAGTATTCATTAGATAACGGACTACCTTATAGAATATTGCTCATATGATATTTAATTTCTTTAGATAATCAAAAATACAGAATTATCTGTATTCTGTAATGCATGTACTGTGAATTCTCGTTTCTAACGTTTGATTGAATGTCAACTACCAAAAATTAATGAAAGGTGATTATCAAGTGAATTTTACTTACTAACCAGGTTCATATTTATCAGTGAATAAAATACTTACTCCTTACATATCGCCCATTTATTCATTTGACTTTCAACTCAACTTTGAAATATCGTGTGACCTATCTATTTGATTTAGTTTATCTGAACTGATGACCTTACATATAATTTTAGAATAATCAATACTCATTGTGAATTTATTTCAAGCTTATACACTGTAGTTCACTTACTGAAAATCTATATAAGGAATACTTTTTCTATGCTTAACATGAACTCCGATTTTTATCACTATCTATTTATTAATGACAAGTATAGAGAGGATTCAATTGCTAAATTTGTTACTTACTCTTATTGAGAAAATTCACTTCCGTTTGAAAAATAAAAATACCATATAAACTGAATAGTATTGAGTGGTTGTTCTTGCTTACTGCTCACCTTCAAGAACACATTTTGCTTAATTGAAAAAACAACTTTGTTTCTTGAATATATTTAGAGCGAAATCTCAGAGAATGAATTTGAAGTAAATCGGCAATCTGGTCCAAGCTTTTTCAAGGAACCATAATCAAACATCAAGATTATCGATTACAAACAGTTAACCGTATACTAAATAGGTCATCTAACCACGTTAACAGTCTATAAAGTGAATTCAATTGGTATTGTTTGCTTGGATCTTCCCATTGATGCTTAGGACTTCAATTGATCAGTTTCTTATTGGTATACGTGGGTTTGAGCACATAAATGATTACATTTTAGGTTTTTCGAGGGAGGGGTATGAGAAACAGTTAAACAGGTAAAGTTTTAGTACATTTCGAACATGATATATTGATAGGAGCAACAAGTGAGTAATGCTGAGATGTGCTGTAAATTAAAGTATAAAATAATAAATCAGTTCATTGGGTCATAAAATCTGAACACTCAAAAGAATGGTAATCAATAACTTAAAGCTTTAGGGGGCATTGGTTCATGCTATTTACACCCCCTCTCTTGATTCTCATAGTAATTCCCTATTGGTATGCTGATGTGAAACGTGACAACTTGATCTGATATACATTCATTCCAAATATACTATTGAAAAGTTCCAAAACCAATCCAAAATTGCTATTCAATGCCCATTAATTTTTCTATGGTTTCCTATTTGATATTAGTTCATAATGAAAATATTTTTTCATATTTAAAATGCCTTAGTGAGTTTGGATACAATAATACATATTTCTTACTTATTTCAGATTAAATCAGTAGAACAAGCTATACTACCACAAGATATGGTTCGATTTATTCGCAGTCAAGATGAAGATGGACGTATACCAATGTTTCAAGAACAATCTACTTCATCATGGTCATTACTAGATTGGATTAAAAAATTCAATATACTAAACAACAATAATAATAATATTAACAACAATATTTTTAATCATGATTTCATTCATGAAAGTATACTTTTACGTATACATATTATAGTACAACCTGAATATGCACATTTCGAAGCTACTGTTAAAGTGAATATAACACAACATTCATTGAATAATTTTCATGTAATGGATATAAGTCGAATTGATCTCTATGAACAACATAATTGGTGTTTATCGGATAATGAGTGGGCAGAAACTAAACAATATTGTATATGTCAAAAATACACTTAAAAAATGTATATAACTGTGAATTAAATTACATGTAGTATATATATATATATATATATATATATATATATATATATATATATATATATATATATATATATATATAAATTCTTAATGGATAGGTTGTCTACAGTCGACTGATCACTAGATAGTACTACAGGAGTTATGTGGGCTTAACATAGTAACCGACACTACAAGCCCAGTAGTAAATTTTCTGACCTTAAGGTCGGGTGACACGGGATCAAATCTGCCAAGGAGCGTTAGTTCCCTCAAGATTACAGGTACATTTTGCTGTCGAGTGCCAAACCGCAGGAAACCCAGGTTCAGGGTTTCCTGTCGACTACCTCCAACCACCACTTTACATAGATTAACTGTTCCAGTCAAAATAAATCGCTAATTAAAATAAGCAAACATATATATGTTTGTTAAGGAAATGTTTAATTTTCATCATGGCATAATTTTATTTGACTGAACATTGGAAATAAAGAAGCACCAGACATCTGTCCAAAATAAACGTTAGGCTTTCATCAAAAGACACTATGAAACAGTCATTATCGTTACTGTAAGTAGTTAGAAATCTTTCTTTTACAGACTCATGTAGATTTTTTTATTGCTCATATCTATTAAACCATACATTGTAGCTACACCTTTGTTGTTTTCAAATGTTGGGTTATCACTTTTGGGCTATGGAGGACTGGACAACGTTTTTTACTTAGTGTGAGACTTTTCAACATTGTTTGCTTACAACCTCGTCAAGGATTGAACTCATCTCTGAGTGTCATGACAGACAAATACTGAATTTACAGACAGTTGCTTTCGGTTAGGTAGGTTACTAAATCAAACTGGGTATGTTGAAACACGAATAAATACATATGAAACACGTGAGTGACTTTCACTGTTTTGTACCAGAAAATTGAGTGTCCTATTTCGGGTTGATGCTTCGTCGTATTTACGGTATCACATAAACAATACTGGATTAATAATATTAAATTTGTTGTTAGTGACAGAATGAGCTTATGTGAATTGTTTCATAAGCTTAAGAATAAAATGTTTCAGTACACAGTGAGCAGTACTGATGATCAGTTATGTTATCAATTTACTGACAATGACGACAACCTACGTTGTTCAAGAAAATTGTATGATCAATTGGGAAATTCCACTTCTGGACAAGTTATGTGTTTTGACTTAAGACAACAGCTCTCGACATTATCACTTGAGAATAACCTCTTCTGATACAGATGGACTTCGGTAAACAATTAAATAGTTAGCCTATCTTGAGAAAACTAACTACATAAAAAAGTGATTGTTTTCAAAGATAAACCTGTGAAAATTTCAGTCACTTTAATTACTACATAAACAAATGCTATATCCGATAACTTAGAGCGAAATGATTCAAATATATGAGCAACTAGCATAGATCACCATAAAAGATTTATTACTTCTTCAGTATTTTAGTCATTCATCGAATGATATGGGATACAAAAGTATTATTCGATCCAGACTAGTGTATTATAATTAATGTCTTGAAATATATATATATATATATATATATATATATATATATAGAGAGAGAGAGAGAGAGAGAGATTCGAAAATTTGTCAATAAATGAATGCAAATATCTATGGTAATTCGAAGGTAAACATAATTATTAACATGCCATTCTAGTTGTAAGACAATATTTCATTTATTGTTATATACCCAATTGATATTTTGTTCTATGAACAAATTTATAAAAGCAATGAACAATAATTGAGATTTCCAAAACAATAGTAAAGAACCATTATTATTTTTGTTGTTAATGAAATGACTAGATTTCTATGTAAGAGGCTACAAATATGATGTAGTTATAGAAACAATTTAAAAACTGTTGTCTTATATTGACTAATAGGCACTTATTAGTCATATTTTATTGAGTTTTTTTTTAATATTTAGCTTAGAAATAACTAAGTTGAAATCAATCAAACAAATAAGAAACAAATATTAGTCATAACAATATTACATTAAATAATAAACTAATTAGAAAGGTCATGTTTGTAAAACTCAAGAGCACAAGCAAATGAACTTTCATTCCTTCCCCCCCCCCAAATATAATAATCAAACGATAGTTTCCTATATGACAATGGTTAATACCAATACTACTATTAGTGATCTAAATACTTATAAATAAAGAAGAGAGAAAAGGAGGAAGTCAAGGATGAACGCATTCTGTTACATTATGATAATCATAATTTATGTTGATGTGTTTGTTTGCATCAGATCTAATTCAAGCATTACATTACGAATTGAATACATACTGAATAAGAATAACATATAGCAGTCATAATTAACGAGTTATTGGTAATTTGATAATATTATATAATAAGGGAATTAAAAATATTCTCTACATAAAATACTTATTGTAGGTTGAAAAACATTAATATGTAAAGGAAAGGTGAGAATAATATTTTTTCTTTAAATCATCAATGGAAAAAGTTATTTTCTTTCTTTTTTCAAATTACTAACTAGACTAAATGACAATAGGGGAAGAGGTCGTGAAGAAATAGGACAAAAAAGTGTATTCATAAAAGGTGGACGTCTGAATATTTGTTTGATAAAACTATTTCTTTTCTATAGCTGGTTCAAATGGAGGTGGTAATTTAATGGTTGATGGCTCAACACCCCATATATCTCGAGCATATTCACGTATAGTACGATCAGAAGAAAATTTCCCGGAGGAAGCAATATTCATAAGCATCATTTTTGACCATCTTAGTTCATCCTACGAGTGAAAATAAAGACGTAATAGTTATTATTAATATTGCTATCATTATTATTGTTATTTTCATAAACTTGAATTAATACCAGTAGTAAAAGTATATAAATTCACCCGGAGCTCCTCCAAAGTTCCAAGCCTGGGAAGAGGAAACAGGCTATAGTTAGCAACCCCAACTCATGAAATAAAACCCTACTAAAAAGACCCAGATTAGTAATAGTATGAGTCACTTTTGTTTATTAAATTATAAGCAACGTGGTAACTTGTTTTGCTACGATAAATTATAAATATTACTTACTAAAATCAGGAGTAGCATTCAGATAACTATTTTTTGAATAAGGAATAAAAAAATCAGATTTTGCTAAAGCAAATAAAATAGTTCTATTTAATTAGCTTCAAACAACTTAGAATATACTCCATGTGCATCAACGTATTAAAGATTGAAGGAAAATTGAACCAAAGAATAATTACGTCACATTACACCTTGATAGCTTTTTGGTTCTCAATTATTTAGTTAAGTCCGTATGGTTACAGACTTTCTAGTAATGTTTACTTGTACTTCAGTCTTTAACTTTGCTGTTCCGCTTATTTTTTTATTATTAGTGAAGCTATTAGTTAGTACTTACTTGTTTGAAATTATTTTAACTAGTTTACAGCCCTCGAAAAACTACATATACAGGATAAATTATTCTTATTAGTCTTCGAACTAATCGGATTAATAGTATGTTAACAGCACCAGATTAAAAAATTACAAAGAATGAAATTGAACACATCGTTTTCATTTATCTAGTCTAAAATGGCGTTATCAATGACCATCTGAAGATATTTAGTTTTGACTTACTTTGTAGGCTTCCTCAACTTCTTGTTGCGCACGTATATAGCTTGCATAATCTGCACATAGCAGGAAGCGATCATCGAATGCTAAGCTATTATATATATCTTTAAATAGATGTGGATTTTCCGGAGAGAAGAAGCCATCCCGAATTTGTTCCAGACATAATTTCAATTCTGGTTCTTTTTCAATATATTCTTGTGGATGATAGCTAAAAAAGTGATAAGGCAGATAAAGATCACGATTTGCTGAGTTAATATAGCAATACTGATTAAAATTGTAGTTGACACTTGAAAGATTATCAGTCTATTTTTAGATCAAAATAATAAATAGACAACATAATCAATAATTTGCATTCGAATCCTGAGTGGAAATCAACTCCACGATGCAGGCGAATCCAGTGGACGAGTCAAAAATAGGAGGAAACACGCCACCTGGATTCCACTACTAGCCAAAAATCATCTCCATTTATAATAGTTTACATATTTTGACTAAATCACCAAGTATAATCAATCATGGACTAATGTGTGAATGAGAGACACTGGATTTTTTGTGTACATCTACACTTTACGTGATTTATACCAATCACTTAGTTCTAACACAAAGCAAGTTAAAACTAATTAAGTTGTTAATTAACAATTGGACTATTCAAAATAAACTTAATGAACTAATGTATTTAGTTATATTGAGAAAATATTTGTATTTGAGAAGATCAAAATAGAATTATGTCTAAAAAGTAGATTCATTGAAATACTCGCTCCACAAGGAATAAACATATTGATATTAATACTATTTTTAAAATATGAGAAGATAGTAAAAGATGATAATGTAAATATTACCATAAAATTATATTGCTTAACGTTGTCTCTGAAAATGGAGATAATTAAAGACAAATATATCAAAATAAAACTTGACAAAAATGTAGGTAGATTTAATTGATCATATTTTGTTAAAAGAACAAAAAGGAAAAATAACTAATCAAAAGATATAAGAATAAAGAGAAATAATGGATCAAAACATTCTCAAGATTCTGATGATAAAACTAGGGTGTATGTAAACCGTAGTAAATGACACTGAGCTATATCATCTAGGTCTTCAATCTTAAGTCATCCCAAAAACCATAACAACCAAAGTCTATAACTTCATTCAAGGATGACCAGGCAGAAAGTGTTTTGATAATTTTATGCACCAACTAACTGAGTTGACACAGGTGAACAAACATAATATTGTGATTTACACAATTTACCAAAGAACATAAGCTCAATGAAATCGTTAACTTGGTAAGGGATTAGATATTATAAAGAGGATACTTAGAAGGAATTAGGAATCAAATACTTTCAACTATGACAGAATTTTCTTGTCACAACTACTATAACAGAGACTGTTATTAACACATTCACTTAATTTGAGATATAAATTAACTGTAACAGATTGATAAATATAAATAAGAGCATGATAATTAAAGAAACGAGTAGCAGATAATTATATTTCACGAGTAACACTAACCAGATCAGATTATTACATATCCCAAAGGGCCGTTTCATGAATTAGAAAATGAGTTAATCAATAAGGGGAAACAATAAGTTTAATTTAAATAATCCGATAAATCCACTCATGTTAATTTTGTTTATTGGTTAATGAAGTCTCTAATATCAAGAATAACATAAATAAATTGGATAATTTAAGTATATGGATTACATAAATTTCTGACATTAATGAAACGATTCAACTAGCTTATGTGTGTTAAAATCCCTATTGGGTACCAAGAAACAATATAAGTAAGACAAATAAACCTAAATTTTAATCGAACATCATTAAATTAAGTGAACTTATTAGATAGGTAATCTAATAAAAAAAATATCAATTGCTATAAAAGAAAAAAAATTTAATACAAGAATACAGAACAGTGAAATATAGGAGAAAGTTGTTATACACAATAATTGAAATTAGAAACATATGTACTAAAACGGGTTTTCAAGCTTTATCTTACTAATGTTTAATTTAAATAGCCCCCAAATACCCTGGTATGGCCGAGAGTGGGGAGAGTCCGCTCTCCCTCTCGAAATACTCTCACATGGCCACACATATATAGCCTCTGCCAGGGAAGTCCTACTTACTGCCTTCTCGTGGCATTACTGTTGTTTACGAAAATGAGAGGACGAAAGGCGAATGTCCTGCGCTTTAACCGGATCACAAACCAATGGTGCACATGGGCTCCAGTATCCTGCGGGAACAAATGGTGTATGAACCAATCGTTGCTCACCGGCTACCATGGGATTGCATCTCCTTACAATGCTCCACTGCCTTGTGCATCAGACCTTCAGGTCGAAGTCTCATGGGATGGCCCCCTAAGAAAACCACATGCTTAGGTTTGGGCACCCGGGCAGTATCACAGCCCTCACATATATCGAATGAGATTTGTTTGGCACATATGTATTTGGTGCCTCCTTGTACCAATATCTATATGTTAAAATAATTAATTAATTAATTTCAATAATCAATATTAAACTTAGGTACTTTGTATAGATAGTAAAAGAATGACTAGAAACGTGTTTAGTAAAGTGATTTTTTTAAACATCGTAAACATATTTTACAGTTTTTATTTAGGACAATCTAATCAACTAATAACAACATGTAGTTGAATTAAGAAATAATACATTTATATGTGTTATTAATTGTGAATAAATACATCATTATTTTAGGTCATTAATAAAGTGTAACTTGTTTTCATATTTGTTATTTCTATCAGTAGATATATTAGAATTGAATAAACAACACAAGTTTACTATTGTCCATAATGACATTCTGTTAACTGGAATGAATTTTATATTTAAATGGAGAAATAATTAATGTTAGTAAATTATTGTTTTCTATGATATAAGAGTGAGAAATAATGAATATTCTACACTAGTTAGAATTTATTGAAATCATAAAATTTATTCACCTTAAATAAAGCAAAGACTTAAATGATAAATGAAATAATTCAATATTTATTATGAGGATGGTGAGAATCGTTTAGTTGAATTGAATAACATAGAAAAGATTAAGAATTCATTATCAGTGGGTTTGATTTAGTCACCTGTATAACATTTTGGATTGAGTTGTAGAATTGAAACTGTCTATACATAATTTCTTCTTATCACTAAGATAATACTGTCCCATCTTAAACTACACAAGCGTTTTGTAACTCAGTGCATAATGATCAATTTTTGTAAGAGTTGGAAAGTCAAATATCAGCGTCCCATTTAAGCCATTATCTAAAAGTGAACAGTAGTGGTCTCATCAGTGATGATTCTATATAGACCACTGTCCCTAATAGGCCCAAATGACTCCCGAGTATCACTTTACGCAGCGAATAACTATTACATTACTTTTAACTAGGTTATATACCACCTTGTTTCGTCATTTCGCGAAATTATATTCGGTTTGGGGTTATGGATCAGATAAGGCTGTAGAGATTCATCACCATAAATAATCTTCAGACGAAAGACAGCATCTATCCTCATGAACACTGAGTAGTCCAAACAGGAGTCATTCTTTTGTCATCCCAACCGTCTGGCTAATTACTTAAGCACACATTTTAATGTCCGTAGAATCAGATATGACAAGGATGAATAACAACTGGAAGGAGCTGGAAAGGATTGCCCAGGAGAGAGTTGGATGGAGAATGCTGGTGAGCGGCCTATGCTACTTTACGTGGAGTAACAGGCGTAAGTAAGTAAGTCGTACATGTATATATATATGACAGACCCTTTCTAGACAAATATAGAGAAACTAAGATGTACATGATACCTAGTTTATTGTCCAAAAAGGAAAGGAAAATGCAAGTTAGAAAATTCATGTTATTTGCTAAAGTGTAGACAGCCATACAATAATTTGATCAACAAGGGAAAAGGAAGCCAATAACTTATGTAAGCCATAAAAATAAAATAATTTCGACAGTTAGGCAAATAAATGATTGAGAAATTCATACTGTTATAATTTTATATTAAATCTTACCCAACTTTGTGAAGAGCATCAACTTGCTCTACGGTTAGACCAAATACAAACATATTCTCTCGACCCATTTCTTCGCACATCTCCACGTTTGCTCCATCCATAGTACCAACAGTCATAGCTCCATTAAGCTAAATACAGAACAGTATACAGAAATTGTTTCTTAAACATGTGTGTGTAACAATAACATTTCCAGAAAAAAATAACCATCAATTTTCATCTTATAATAAAATATCACAAACTATTTTAAAACATATTAACGATACGATGTTCAATGAAATCACCAACAAAGTCTAAAATTAAATACAAACAATACGGAAGCATAAAACAAAGTGATCTGATAAATTTTTTAACGATAATAGTACAATAAATGTTAGAAATTTCAGTGGAAAAAAGACAGGGTACTGTTCCTCTCTAGAGTGTTACTTCTAAGAAGTATCATCACTTAAAATCTATTTACTATAAAAATTAATTTAAAATTTATCAATGTTCAAACTTAATAATTTCACTATAGTTAATTGGAATAAGATTAGGTTTCATCAGAAAGTGTTCCTGTTTTTAATTTGACACCAATGAAATTGAAATGAAAAATCAGTTGTTTCTGGGTTTTATAAAAAAAAAAACTCAAGTGAAATCAATAGATTTTTTGTGGAACCTAAATCTGCTAACGACACTGTTATATAATGGCAAACTCTAATGAAACTTAATCTCTTTCTGATAGAATAGTAATATTATCAAAAGACCATGACTATAAATTTTCTTACTCAGCATTTCAAGAAAGTTCACAACCTTCATTTAGTTTAGTAATTACATTTCGTCTCTTATTCAGCTACACTACATTGGTTTTAAAAATAGTAGTACAACAATTGTCACTGTCTCAATCAAGGTTAGTATATATTTTTTTTCGAGATCACATTCTAAGTGTCTTGTTACTCAGTCAAGATGATGTCATTTTCATATAGTTTTGAACAAAAAAGGAAATCTATCAGCCTCCACTGAGAACACAAATTAATACGTATCCCGTATGATAATAATTAAGAGAAGTAAATACAATAATGTTTGTTCAGAAACAGTAAAATACATTAGAACTACAACTCAAAGTAAGAGAGATGATGTATTTTACCTTCTAAAATATGATAGTTATTTTCTAACCAAGTATTAAGTTCATGCAGAACTTGGAGAAATCAGAAATTCAAAAAAATAAACAGAATGTTTATTAACAAGTCAGTATTTCGCATTTTATGTGTAGACTAAATCTAAACAATTTTAGTGACTTACCATAAATTTCATGTTACCGGTACCCGACGCTTCTGTACCAGCTGTAGAAATTTGTTCCGACAATTCAGCGGCGGGGAATATTTTTTCAGCCAAAGATACACGATAATTTTCAAGGAAAATAAGCTACGATAGAAAACGTGTGTAGAAACAGAGATGGAAATAACATGTATGTTGATTACAAAATACCAATACAGCGTAGTATGGTTGCTTGTTATGTAAAAACTAGGTATATGCAAGCATAAAATTATTATTATGTTATTAAATTGGACTCTATACTGCGGTTGACGTTTTGGCTGCCACGTGTATAAGTTTGAAGTCGAATTCCTAGTGAATTTTTCATGGGATTAACCGCAAAATGGGCAAAACTGAATGTGGTGATTTCCAGAAAGTTAAAATATTTACTAGCAAGGAAAAAAATTTCTATTTGATCGAGATCATTTAGCTTAATTAGGACGTTAACATTTAATTCTTCCAATTTCTTTAACTATGAATTTTTCAAACCAGAGTAAGTACACAGATATCCAAGTGTTCTCGGTTCTTTAACCAATATGTCCATTAATTATGATATAGAACATCTATATTTCCGAATTTGCTAGCTAACAATAACAAACGAGGAAGCTTAGTCATACAATTAGTAAGAAAATAACAGGTGTAGAGTCATATTTCAATTATAGTCAATTAGTGAGTATTTTTAGTTTTTCTGTAGAATGCCTAGTGAACTACCAAACGGATACAACAATAATTATTAACACTTACTTTAATTCTACCACGTACAACTGGATCATTATTGACAACTTTACCTACGGAATTGATCAACTTGATAATAAGTTTGGCCATATGATAACCTGGAGCAGCTTTACCCCCAATCATAACTGTACGTGGACAGATTGGTATTTCAGGATTAGCTTTAATACGATTGTACAAAGTGATGACATGTAAGCAGTTTAATAGTTGACGTTTGTACTCATGAATTCTTTTGACCTAACATTTGGAAAATCAAGAAACTTCCGTCAAAAGGATATATATATACATAATTAGAAAAAGTGGTTATTGAACTTCAAGATAAATAAAAAGATTTTGAAAGATCGAACGTAGAATTTCGAAGGTTCAAATAGTTGGCGTTCACTGTATGTGGTAGGAAAGTTAAGTTTAATATGGGTTGTATGATAGCAAAGATAGGAAACCTGAGAAGTTTTGACATGTGATGCTGAATCCTATGGTATGTAATGAATCTATTGACTTGTCCAGTATCGGAGATATTTCTTGTTAAATGAACCAGATTGATACTTTGAGATAATTGACAGTATGATAACAGAGTCGAAATGAAATCTTTTAGTGAATGTTTGATACTAATTTATGCATGTTCTGTATGTAGTTTAGGAATTTTTATCACTAACCTAAAAATAGAAATAGTACAATTGGAAGAAACATTTTATAGCCTACCCCCTCTACATTAACTGTAACCAAGAGAAGGGAATGTTTAGTGAAAAACTATTCATAAATGCAGAAGAAGGAATAAAGTGCTTCTCAAATAGATAGAATCTCTTAGTAGAAGTTCATGAGTTAGAAGAAATTTACTCATACTTTGATCGACACTTAAAAAATTAAAATCATTCTAATATCAACATTCAGCTGTTTGCAAGAAACAAGTGAACAACCAAACCTTTATTTTACATAAATGATTGGAACACATCAGCAGTACCACTTAGTGTGAAGTGAATGCATCGAAGCGGGTTTTATTACGTGAATCGAAACGTATTTCTAACTAAAAATCTTGTTGAATACACCAAAGAGGTACACAACTCAATGAATCCGCATTAGTCTTATGGAAAAAATAGAACTGACAATATCAGCAATCAGATATGTAAGGAGACATTATCACTCAAGTTTAATTCCTCATCACTGGTTGTGTCGGTTCTGAAATCCTAATCTCAGTCGGTTTATGATGCGGTACCAGCACCATTCGATGATTTGAGGTGTCAATCAAAACAAATATCAAGCTAAATACCTATCAAAGACGCCACAACGTTCAAAATTAAGGTCAGTTTATATAATTAATCATTTTAAACAATCATGATATTGGCAATTTATTTTCGAAATAATTACATAATTATTCATCAACATATTTTACCAAAATTAACTGAAGCAAGTAAATCTCACTTGGATATCAAATAGAGATGCTGGGTTGATTGTTACACCATAATGTTGTTCCAGATAAGAAGCAAATTTAGCCTTGTTTTCCCGTTTGATACGTATCAACTGACGTAGAAAATTAACATCATTTACACGTGATTTTAACTGAGCGATTTCGTTAAGGTTAACAATCCATGATTCACTGCCATTCATTCCTTCCATAATTAAGTCTGACAAATTTGGATTACATAATAGCAACCAACGACGAGGTGTAATACCGTTTGTTTTATTCTGAAATTTATTTGGCCATAATTCAGCGAAATCTTTGAAACTGCAGAGAAACAAAATTGTACAGGTCAATAAGGAAAAGAGGATAATCAATGGTGAGTACTGGAGGTATAAGATAAGTCTCAGTTAGTGACTATACAGAGAATTAACTATATGAGAAATAACAACATGTAATGGTTATCAGACTAAAAGTTTAAACACCTGCTGACTGTATAGCGTTTCTCTTACAACGAAATATGAGCCAATTTTACTTTGTTAACTTGGATGACACTAAGTAACTATTTAAATGAGAGAAATTGAAATGAGTTTAAAACTTTATCAGTAAATAAATTTAACCGACAAGTCACAATTCATTGAGTAGAAACGAACAATTTGTATTGAACAAAAGATATTTTAGTGATTATAATTTAATGTTACAAGGGTTTGAATCATGAGTTTTACATGAAAACTAGAGATATAATTCGACCATTCAGACTGAAGTGGACTGGTTTTTCAAACATGTGACTAAGCCGGAAAAGCCGAGTTCTTGTGCCGCGGAAGCTTTATTACACAAGTTAAGAGAATGATTTTATCCCATAGATCCTAAGCTAACTGGATGAAAAACTAGCAGTTAATATTGGATTTGCAAAGAGAGAAACCGTTACGAATGATGACAAACATTAACGATGTGATGGACTTCTCAACAAGAAAAGTATTCGTTGCTGTAATAAAACATTGTAAAACACAATAAATAAAGATATGAACAGACAATGATGGTATCTAAGTGAAAACCAAAACAATTATAAGGAGAAGTGAATTTTCTAGGAAGTATAATAACTTCTATTCGCGAAATAAAACACCATCTATGAAAAAAATCACACCAACTGCGGAAAACACAACAACTTTCGCATATAAGAGCACAGAATAGGAATGCGGTGGCATGATATGTCATCATATCAATGTACGTAAAAAACAATAGGCATGAATTCGGTTACGAAAAGCCTCGAAATTATGGACTGAGGATCTTTTAAAGTGCTGGGAAATTTTAAGTGGTGTCTCATTTAGATTAACTGACAGTCAATATACATATCGACAGACATCCCATTTATCAACTTATACTTAAAAAGTCAACTAATCACATGGTTAAAGCTCAACTGAAAAAGACAGTCAATATGAATACAACAATATATAGAAACAACAAAACCAAGGAAGACAACCAATTACAAAGCAAGACAATCAATACGCAAACCCCATTCTGATATATGGAACGGTTGGATTCACAAACTGATATTAGCTAGACCACCAGTGAAAGCCTGGAAGCATCTAACAGCAGCATTCACTCATGACTCCCAGAATAGCTCACTAATGACCAGCTCTCAGTTCAAGTATGAAGCCATGACCAGTGGAATTCAACCACATCGGAAGTGAGGCAACTATCCACCGGAAGTAGTAGATAAAAGTTGCGGAATATCTTTAGTTAGTTAAAGTTGGACATGTGCAACATCGGACGCCTACTCAGTGGTCTAGAGGTTAGGCGTCCGCTCACGTGTCCGGAGGTCTTGGGTTCTATTACAGGATGCTGGGTTATGACTGTGTATTGTTGTGGATTCCCATAATAGGACGAAACCTCTATTTAGTGCTTTTCGGTTTCTAATGGAGGTTTAAATAGTATTAGTTCAGTAATGAATGAAATAACTGAAAAGCTACCTTTTAAATGAGGTAGGGCCTGATGATGTCAACAGAGGCGATGAAACATTCTAAATTAAGCGATCTAGAGATCAGAGAACGCAACATCATCAAAAAGTCTATACTTTACAATCCCTATTACTATAAACTATCACTATCGGTCGTGTTTTATTAGTTGGAACTCCGTCACTTTGAAAGTTAACTTTTTGCAACCCACATGTAAATTACCTTTAAGCAATATTAAATAATAATAAATTGTGATGACGTGAATCTATTATAAAGTAAAAACCCTTACGTTTGAGTTTTCAATAAGTGTGAATGTATTGCTGCGACTCCATTAACTGTGTGAGATCCTACAATACACAAGTAGGCCATATTAATACGTTTTTCGCCTTCTTCTTCTACCAATGACATACGACGAATACGGTCATTATCGTTTGGCCATTTCGCTCGTACAATCTAGATAATAAAAAATACAGAAAAAATCAAAGGAAACATACGGTACAGACGCTTATTTACGCAGGAACCAGTAAATGTAAATCTGTTGATTTATGTAGAGATAATTTTAGGGAAAGAAATTTCGATATGCATTAGAACACAATTAACATTTCAACTTTTAAAAATATTTTAATTAAGTTAGCTTGTCTGTGAAAATGACGTGAATTAGATTTTGTAAAACTTCGGTAGTAATGTGATAATAGAGTTTAATATCTGTTCATGTACTTAGTGAGTTACTAAGAAAAAATTATAAAAGCCCTTGACTTTGCGGGCAAGGTCAAAAAGTGAAAACTGTTAGTCAATAATATTTGGTTGGCCAATTCAGTAAGCTTCCATCATAATGTACAAAGTCTATAGTTACTTGATCATAGAAATCTTGGACATGCTGTCTGCATGTACCAAAAACACAAAAGACATTTAAAGGTTGAAAGACTACTTTTAAATGACGAATGAAATCAGTTGGTTTTAATTTTGAATTGATCAAAATAAATGATTAAAGTACATATGGAGAATGACTACTTTGGAGGACTGTGATGATAATACTAAAATTCAAAGTTAAAATTCCAAGGCGTTCAGAACCAAAAAGATTGTTTGATTTGTGCTGAGTTATTACATTCCTGTCTGGAATCCTTAAAAGAGCCAGATTGTCAGTCCATGTTAAGTTACACACACGAACTACATGTACGAAATATTACAAAATGATGAATCAGAGTGAATGCTCAACGATGTAATTCTGATCAGCGTTTGCTTTGAATTGTTCCAAATGAAACAATTGTCTAAAACAAGTGAGACTGTCGGAGTACCATCAAATCAAAAAGTTAATTAATTTCGACCCATTGTAAAATATAAATTACCATTTATGCTGCTTTCTGTACCTCTGTTCAACCAAGTGGAGTAATAGATAAAACGTGGCCCTTAGTGCAGTTCAGGACGCATATGTCGTCCCACTTGAGACTCAACAGCTGAACGTGCATGGACTCGAACGCACTACCGTCCACTTTAAACACCATTGCGTTATCCACTTAGCTACATTCGATCTATTCTATATAATAAAGGGATTTTACACAGAATGCACATATGCCAAGACTGATCAAATTTCAGTCAAAATATCAAAAATGAGATAATCCAAACCATTTCAGGTGCTGCAACGTCCATAAGTACAGTAAACAGAAACAAACCCTTTTGAATTCAATCAAACGTTTGCAGCTGATGGGAAACATAATACATACATTAGTAAACATTATGTGAAAACATTTAATCTGTTTTTGATGCTCGAACTGTAAGTTTTCAGTCAACTAAACTAAAACTCACCATACCAAATGTTTCATGAGTTAATTAAGATACTTTTAGGGGAGAAAATACACTGCTGAAAGATGATGTTCAATTTACTTTATACTTTTCTTATTAGTAGATCTGTGCATATGATAAGTCACCCAGAATTTCTATTTTATAGAAAAGTTAATATCAGCTATTTTGCATTATGTACACTTCATTCATAAAATCTTATAGCAAAATATCATTACATTTGTATCCTTGTATATATATATATATATATATATATATATATATATATATATATTAAGATTCACATTGAAACTCACATCTAAGAACTCAGCATTAATTTGATAGATAATTTCTAAATGACGTGGTAATATATGCTCCAATAATGTGACAGGCCAACGTTCCAATGCTTCAGGTAAGATTGTATGGTTTGTATACGCAAATGTATGGTAACTTATATCCCATGCCTTTTTATGTGTAGATAAAGAGAACATAAGATTAGGTTAGGAAATACTTTACAGAATAACCTAAGGAGGATTAAGACACAAGAGTATTTAAGAGGTGAAATATGAAGTTAATAATATTATAATTTGAATCATATTACTATTATTCACAGTTTGTGAAGGATGTGAATAAACAAATTTTTTTAATCATAGATAAGAACCCAAAATATTTAAAGTAATGATTAGTTTACCGGTCAGTCAGTCATAGATAACGTAAAAATTAGCATATATGTGCTTTGGATTAAGTTGTCAAACTGTATCAGCACAGTGTGATTAAATTATCGGGACAAATGCCAGATTATTAGCAGCAAAGTATCAGTGTTAGTAGAAAAAACTAAGAATAGTGACAAAAAATAGCGATTTGAGAAGGGGGAATTAATTTGTGGAATCAAAAGTACTGGATAACTACGACTCAAGATCTCAGAAAAGATGAAGACTGAATGTATCTACACAATTGAGACTGATTTTGAGACGTCATCCAACTTCTTAAACTATTGGTTATGGTAATCACTCATATAGTCTAAGCCTACCAACAGTCAATGATTTGATTGGCCGATACTATGAATCCATTTGGTCGTCTCTAGCTTTTTTCCAAACCTGTTTCCAACACCCGTAAACATCATCTGTTGAGGGAGGTGGCTGTTAGACAAATGCAATACATGATTTTGATTGAGATCATGAATCGATCAATATTAGACCAAAATCGAAAACCTGGAAGCACTGGATGGCCGTTTCGTCCTAATACGGGACTCAGCAGTGTACACCCACGATCCCATATATGGGATCCGAATCTAGGACTTTCGGTCTTACGTGTGAACGCTTAACCCTTAAAGAGAGCAAGAAAAAAGACTGGTGCAGAATAATGTGGGTCCATTTTATTTTGTTAGGCTCTCATCAGCTACTTACAACCTAAAATACTTGAAAATCAGAGTTATTATAGTGATTGACATACTTATACATAAGAGGGTGATTAAGGATGAATATATGTATCACCACTGAGCCTACATCCAATGATGTTGATGTTTAACTTCAATCGATTCATGATCTTGCTCAACCCTTCATCCATTGTCTGAGGTAGATAACTGTCTCCAACTTACATGGATATGACCCCACTGCTCACAGCTTTTCACTAGAACTCCAAGAAATACCTCTCGAAACTACTCACTAGTGAACACATGGTAATTATCAGCATGGGTTTGTGATGATTGAGTTTTCGATTGAGATCATGAGTCGATCAATGTTAGACCACCATATGTCTTAACCCCTCTAATCGATGAAGATTCAATACTTCATCAATTTATTTGCCATCGTCGTCTAATATACATGTGTTTAGCATCAGCATATTTTACTACAACATACTATATTACTAATTACGGTGTTTGTTAGGTGTTATAATATTCAATCACTTACTGAGAGTAATCAAAATGGTAATACGGCTTCCGGTACATATTAAAATTTGTCTTCCCAGACCATATACATGGTATGATAGCTATGTTTATTTTCAATGGAAATAACCAGGCTTGGTGACCAAACTCGTACATTTTTGTGATTAAGAGAGATATCACTGTATCATTGTCGGGTGGAATACTACCTAAACTCGTATCAAGATCAATCTTCCCAAGTAAAATGTGTCAGTGGTTTGACATATTCTTATTAGTGCCGTTTCGTAGTAAAAATATAGAATGGTAGATAATATTCTGTCTATTTGAAAAAAAGAATTTCAAGTGTCAGAAACTTGAGTGATTATTTAATTCAATGTTAGAAACTTACTTTTTTCCACTCTAAACCTTCCAAGTCAACTAAGATACGTAGTAATTCAGGAATTGCCAGTGAGGGATGTGTGTCATTCAATTGGATAGCAACTTTGTTGGGAAATTCATCAAACGATCGATGGTGGGAATCATTACTTCTAAAACGCCGAATTATATCCTGTAAAAATGAACAATTAGAACACAAAGGTTAATATATGCATAGATGAATCAACAACAAAAAGGATTCTTTTTTATAAACTCAACATATTAATGAGAATTTTATTTTGATGAATTCGGTAACATTGCATGTTGGCTATGTTATAGGGTTGCTAGGTAAAAGCAAATTATACACAGTATACTTACAAAACACTAATTACAACTATATATATATATATATATATATATGTCTTGAAAATGTGAACCATAGAGTTTAGACTCGATGGTCTAAAACACTGTCAGCTTCTATCTTATTCATGAGAGTCACATAGAAAAATGGAAGAGTTGGTTTCGTAAGATTTGTCTTTACGGAGTTTTTATATGGCAAAATTAGGTAGAATGCTTTCAGGATATTACCTGCAAAGTGGCAGCAACTAAGAAATACTCTTGACGAAGGCGAAGTTCCTTCCCAACAAAGAAATTGTCATTTGGATAAAGAACTCTGGATATATTTTCCGCATGATTACGTGCACATACAGCCTAAAGCAGAGAAAGAATAAAAAGAATCATAGTATTTCTGGAAGGGTTAAATGAGTGTGATGAAAATAGAAAAGCAAACATACTACGATCTTATAAATTTTCACTTATTTTCACAAAAAAGTATGTTTTGTTTTGCATAACGCTGGAATAGATAATAGCATTGAACAAGATAAAGCGTGACTAAAAGAGGTAACCTGCTGCACAGGAATCGAGTTAATATTGTTCAATAGAAAACTGCTTAAGATGTAACCGAATACAAAATGGTATTGTTTCGAAAACCGTAATTGGCAACAGCACAGGACATCTATTCTGTTTAGACTGCAATTATATAAAATGGTAGTTTCAATGTCAATATCAATATATCAGTTAACGGCAAACAAATTCATACCGTAACTAACATTGTTTTCAGCCAAATCAGTTATGGTAGTTAAGAAATTTCAACAGATTTATAAGAGATTTTGGACAAATAACAAATTATCTTACGTTTATGTAATCACCCATATTAAATATACCGAGATCAAAACTTTTTGGAGCTTTGGCAGACCACAGCCGAAGAGTATTGCAAGTGTTATTTCTATACCCTGGAACTGGGGTGTCATAGGGCATTGCAAAGACTGGATGAGCATCAACCCATCGTCTACGTCCATTTCCAGCATCTTCAACACGCCCGTAAAAGTTGACAGGATAGCAATATTCTGGTCTACCTTTTTCCCAAGGGTTTCCAAAGCGTAACCACTCGTCGGGTTCTTCAACCTACGTACAAAGTGAAAATAAGGGTAAATATGCGATAAACTTTAGGCTAGAACAACCCTAGAATTACTAACTCTTGTACATTTGATCAACAACAAACATTGTAAGCCAAAATTTTCCTTGCTAATTTATCCTAACTAAAGAAAACTTATGCAAGACTATACATATCATTTACCATAGGATTTTATATAAGGCAATTATATCTTGAGGTAGCTTGTGGTAACAACGGCTATCACAACTTCACTTTAAATCAGGATGAGACAGCTTCTTTCTCTTACTTGTTCTGATTACTGCAAAACGTAAAATTTGTAAGGATGATTTATTCGGTAAGACTCCAGAAGAATTCGAATTACTCTTGAATTTGTTTAGTTATAATAAGACTAAATTCAATAATTATTAATTAGGGAAATTATTGAGTCAAACAGTTGTCACTTGAGCACAAAATAATATGACATTAATGCAATTGAATAATATACTTAATAAAAGTCAAGTGAGCAAAATATCACAGTTAGTTAATTAATATAAATCTAATGAAATACTCCGCAAACCTTGAGCTGAATTAATCCACGGTCAAATGAACAGACATCACACTGGGTTAAAATGAACAATGAATCTAATTTAAAAATCAATGCTTGATCCTTCACCTAATTTCTTTCTGCTTAATCGTATTTTGAAATTTATATCCCGAAAGTAAGGGTTAGTTCAGCGCTTATTTTAATTTTTTATTATGATATACAGTTCACAAGTGTGCTTACCTGCCAGCCATCGCGAATAGACTGTTCAAAAATGCCATAATCATAACGGATGCCATATCCATAAGCGGCCAACCCTAATGTTGCCATTGAATCCAAGAAACAGGCAGCTAGACGTCCTAACCCACCATTGCCAAGACCAGCATCAGACTCCATTTCCTCTAGTTCCTCAATATCCAGTCCCAACTGTATTCAGATAAGCGAAATCAGAAATTAAATACTTTAATAGTTATGTCAGACAGACTATCTGAAACTACTCACTGACGAAAGCTCTTATGAACTGACTGATTAATTAGAATGACATAGACCAAAACACCACCACATTATTTTAAAACATTTTTGAATCTTGTTTTGAGTATAGTTTCGTTATCCATGTGAAGGGTATTGTTGGGGACGTACCAAATTAAAGAAGTATTTGGTTACATTTCAAAAGATAATGTTGACAAACAAAATATGGGTCTCTTATGTATACGTCAATGTCTATCAAAAATACACCAAAATACTTCTGCCAAACATGGGAATACACTAAATAACAAAGAAAAGACATGGTTATGTAGATCAATGGTTTGTTTGTGTGGCAAAGATACATTTAAAGAGCCTTCTGATATCTCCTTTTGTCGTCAAAGCCCATACATTCAATTACGTTTTGTATATGACGAGAAAGCGTTTTCATGCATGGTGTCTGTATGCGATCGACAATAATCGGTAGGAGAAATAAAAATGACACTTGGTGAGTACAATTTTCAAAGTTTCTTTAGCGTGCTAAAGACCGAGATGACTGATCAAAATGGTCATTATGAATTCAAATAAACGTTGAGACAATGAACAAAGTTGAAACATTTTACTGCTAAAGGTGGCTAATCTTTCTGGAGTGTGAACCTCTCAGAAAATAATGGTGTAGGAGAAAGCTATGGATCAAGCTTATGTAATACGCTATCATCTATTGTTTGCTAAAATTATGAGAAGTGAACCAATAATAATAGGTATTGAGTGGTTTAACATGGTACTACTACGCTTCCATTTAATTTTTGTATGGTGAAGAACGGATTTAATTGCATTGAAACTGACTAGTGACTTTTGTTAATCAGTTAGTTTCATATCTAAAAATACATAGATCACGGAAAAATTGACAATTAACCGTTAAGACTATGGTTTGAGGGGTTCGAGAATCTCACATACTATTTGCGTCAATAAACAAAGCGCTTTACCTTTGTATTAGATCTACATAAAATAACCCTATCAGCATATATATATATATATATATATCACCAATGAAACGCTCCTTAGTTGTGGTAAAGTTACAACTGAAGTAAGTCTTTGGTTCACTGATATAAGCACGGTTTCAAACTTTACTCAACTTCGAATTTCGCTAAACCCAAAAGGACCTGGCTAGTCACTACATTAAGGGTTTATAATGTTGTAATTAAGTATACGTTTTAAAAATTTGGGGGTGGCCAAATTGAAATATGATATTGCTCTTTGAAGCCAGTGATCTCTGTTAAGAGCGATTTAAAACCTTGAACTTGACAAGATAATAAAACTCACTTGGTACATCGCCTCATCTACTGCAGCAGCAATATTTACATTCAGCATTGTATTGGTCAAAGTGCGGCCCATGTAAAATTCTAAGGACAAATAGTATATGCGCTGCAATATGAAAACAAGATAATCATCTCTATTTGTTTGTAGTAAGATAACAGGAATCATAATACTGAGCAACAGAATCCAAATTGTTTACAAGTTTCTACACTAAGATGAAGTGGGGTGGGGTTGCAATCAAACGATAAGCACGTGGTTAACGAGATATTTGATAGGTTAATCTTCTTGTGACTAAGAGGCGCATCACAAAAATAAACAACACCTCATTTACATCCTTTCAAGTTAATGAATTATAATCAATTCGCACAACATAAAATGTTGTTCCTAAGATAGTAACACATTTACGTAGTCAGTGCCGGATATTGAGTCGTAGCAAAGCAAGATTTAAAAGGTTTCACTAGTGCGAATCGACCTCTTAAAACTATTTCGTCAATGTCTAACAAGATGGGATGATCAGAAGAAACATATAATGTTTACACAACCGTTTTTGGTGCTAAACAAAGTAGTCTAGCGAAGTGGCGCATAACTTACTTCTTTGAAAATGGAAGAAAATACATCACTTTTGATGTCCGCACACGGAGAGACCTCGAAAATCACCATAAAGTAACCTTAATTTTGATTCTGTAGGTTTAGGGTACTTTATCAAACGATTGCCAGGTGGCTAGGTCAAAAGAAACGAAGTAATCACATCGGCCACGTGAGTATTAAGACCTCCGTGTGCTTTGTATATCAATTTCGACCAGACAAGGAATCAGAATAGTTTTAGGAATCCATAAATTATAAAGACAGCTACTATCAGTGAAGGCAATGAACCATCAGTTAAATCAGATTTTATCTGAACCTCAGTTTTAAAAAGTAAGTAAATTCTGTATTCGATCGCCAATAAGTCGTTTCGCTATTTTCACCATCACAATGTTTGCTCACATGGAACTTTGTCTCATTGAAGTGAATTACATAAATACTGATAATAAGCTTATTTACTTATTTGTTTGTTTGTTTGAACACATAAATACTGGTGCAAGGGGGCACCAAATATATATGCGCCACATAAAACAATGAGAATGAGAAGAGAAAAAGAGAATAGCGACGAGATTAGTGTAAAGTAGTGTAAAATAATCATAATGATAATAATAGTAATGGGGGAAACGGAAGGGTATAATAAGCTGCCAAAAATGCTTATATTTCGAAAATCTCATACACTGAAAGGACCATAGGTACATGTTACACGTTCTCCAGAAAATGTGTGGTGCATATTTCACCTAGCACAAATTACCAACGAAGTAACATGTCAGAATATAGTAACGCTTCGCATAATTTTGTCATAATTTTAGGTTGCCAAACCACAAAATAATTTTACTTCACAAATACTTTATTAACGCAAGTGAGTTAACTGAGTCTTCCTAAGTAAAAAAAAACAAGAAATCGACACTTCAAATTACGCAAAAACAGTAAGATATAGAAAATATGACTAACCTTTGGATCCTCTCTATGGTAAAACTGCTGAGATCGAATCCATCGAGAGCAAAGATGATCCCAAACTGTACGTGCTAACGCTTGATAGAAGTCGAGGGACGTTGCGACGTTCCTATCTTTAACACCATCAAAATGCAAGTGTCTGTTGAAGTCAGATTTAAGATTTGTCACATTTTCCAACTGAGCAATCCCTCTAACACTTATTTGCTTCCTTTTCTCAGCATCAGACAACATATCACAATTTTGTAGCTTCAAAAGCGTTGAATGAGTTGATGCAACCGAAACAGTAAAACAAATGGTGCTTCAGCAGCATTGAACAAACTACATTGAAACTCAAACATGATGTTTTGTGACATTTTGTCGCTCATTAACCTGGAAGTCTGCGTAAATATTCTTTCAAAGTGTTAAAAAATCTTTTAATGGAATACTTAAAGTGAACGGATAGCTTTCAGTTCGAACAATAGTCTAATAGAGACGAATCAAAGTTTTATTTAGTAGGGAATCACCACAAATATTAATCCAACTCTTAAACGATATATATCGCAGAAGCATTCGAACTCTGGTGGGCACGACTGCCAAGCCAGCGGTACTACTATATTCTCACACTAGACAATCACGATCAGGTAGAAAGCTCTTGTTTAGAAAGCGACGGCAAGGCAAAAACGGTAGGCTCCTTCAAATCTGTCCGCCTTTTCGCTTCAAAAACCTTGAACGGGCCGACTAGACGCTGTCATTCCGTATTTTAATTGCCGTGTGTGTCGGGTCGTATGAGTAATAAGATTTCCATATTCAAGTCATCTTTTGCTGCATGAAAAAGCACAAAATAACTGCTAAGAGCATTAATTTAGCAGTCTCTGTTTTGCAGTGTACACGTTAGCTCTGTTGTTGCCTCGTAACTTGCTCTGTAGTCCCACAACACCTTTATATAATTTGTTGATAATGTCCAGAAAACAACGTAAGAAAGATAACATAAAAAGTTATAGATACGCAGAGCTTTTGTGAGTCGCTGTTAAAGAAGTTAAGACGAAATGTCAACTCATCGGTAAGTCCTAAATATTTGTTGTACTTCTTTCAGTTTTTTTTCAAGGAATAACTTTTTTGATAATGAATGCGTGTTGTCTGTAGTGCTTCATGTCAAGGGAAATTTCAGTGGACGTAAGAGAGGCGTTTCAACGTATTATGCTGAACAAGCGATTCGGAAGCTGGATTGAATTTAATAGTGCGCTAAAGAATTTCCATAAAGTATGGAAGAATAATTCTACGTTTTATCAGATTACCCATAGGCAATATGTTCACGCAGAGAATAAATTTTTGAAGGATATGAAATATAAATACTTGTTTGTGGTGTTTCATTGCACGTTTGGTCGTAAACGTAAATCAGAAAGACTGACAGTGAATAAAAAACGTGAGGACTTTAACTACTCTGTGACATTTAAGGTCTAAGTTTTTAAATTGCCAATATAGGTTTCGTATAAGATTAGAAGGTGAAGAATACGTCATAAAATCTTACAACATGTCTCACAACCATCTTTGTAGTAGTTCATGGATGGTTTGTGATCCGTGGAGTTGAAGATTGTCATCCGAAGAAAAAGAAAACTTGAAGACAGTAATATTGCACTGTCAGTCAGCAGATGAGGTTGTAGAAAGTGTTAAAGAGAGAATAGGTAAGCAGGTTACCACTGCTGATGTCAAAGCTATGAAAGGTAAACTTGTAGAATTATGGTCTACTATGATATTAGTACTGCTCTAAAAATGACCTAATCCTAAATTTGTAGATTTGTCATGATATAACTGCCTAATCTATAGGATCTTACGTGGAAGTCACACTATCGACTAGACCAACTCACTGTATCGCATCAATTACCAATACATGATGTAGAACAAGGTTAGGCTAGAGAAAGAAAAATATATTTAATATGAGTAGAAGATATAAGGTAACATTCAGCAGAGACCACGCCTGCATGGCCAAGCCATGCCACTCGATCAACTCCAGTCCGTTCAATTCATTGTTCGCGCCTTCTTAATTCTTAGGTATTTCTTCGTGTTAAATATTGAATATCTATTTTCTGAGTAGTCTCGTGTTCAGCTTCGAAGATTGTGTGGTTATGGTCCAATGCCACTACAAACTCTCCACTGGTAAGTGTATATTAGTATATTTCAGGTTGTTCTCGAAAGAAGGTAATGCATATGCTGCGACAAAACGGTGAAGTTAGGGAGCATGTAGAAAATGGGTATATCACGAGAATATGCTTCAGCAGCTAGGACCAGATACAGTTGTACGATCAGTATCCTAAGGTCGTGTGTATTTATTCGACTTATAATACCAATAATAAAAAGTGATTGCGCTCTTTGTTACATGACACTTCGTAGATATTCCTTATACCAGTTGGTCGTAACAGATAATTTTGGTCGTGGGCGGCCTGTAATGTTTTGGTGGACGAAAACGGAAATGCGCGCAGATGTTACATGAATTCTAGAAAAATTCAAAGAGTTTGTTGGAAATACATTGAAAACCCAGGCCTTTCTTATGGACCGCGGAAGGCATTATGGAGTGGATCTAACCACTTGTCAGTGCAATTGTAGAATATTTATTACGTGTCCATATCCTTGCCACCATCTGCTAATGGCATATATTAAAAGACGAACTCTTACAGGTAAGCTTAGTCACTTACGAAATATAAACTATATAACCCATCAAATTCTTAAGCATTGTTGTAGATGGAAGTTAGACAATACGCACAACTTACAAAGCAACACATTACCGAGACGGAGTGAAAGATATATATGCAAATTCAAAGGCTCCAAAAAATGTGCAAACAACAAATTATTGAGAAATATGGCGAACCATTCGCGAAAGACGTGGAGAGAAAAGTCTACAATTTCCACTTAAGAATTATAAAAAACTAGACGGCACGTTCACGATAAAAAGTTCTTTGTGGCCTTATTTTTGACTTCACTATATATACAACTTGTAAACTTATCTTTCTACTATACTAGTCATAACAATTCAATAAACTTTTTCCAAATTTTTATTTCCGTCTTATTCATATTTTCATGGGGAGGTATACCAATCGTTTTAATGAATAATTGTGTGTGAGAAATAAGAACTTGTACTACTGAATAAGTTTTTAAGTGTCGTTAGAACTTAGAGTTATATCATTGTTAATTGTGACTTTTACGTAAAACCTTACAGATTAGGCAGCCGCCTGACATACTTTCCGTTGTCGGATTACATCCATGATCCTTAATGTTTCCTTAAGTCCAACACCATACAAACTTTGACCTGTTCAAGCATATATATATATATATATATATATATATATTATTAATAATCTAGGTCATTCCGATTCTTCACTTTTTATTATGTCAATTGTTTCATACTATTTCTCACCTCAATCTTAAATTATAATACATATTTAGTTGCATACAGCTTGTGAGAAACCACGAAATATAATGCAGTCACATTATTCTGCATCAATATTTGTTTTGGCTTTATTTAGACCATAAGTATACATACTTAAGGGATTTATAACGTTAAACACTGGGTATGGTTGTTATATTTATATTTAAATAATTCATTAGATGAATGAACATGGCAGTAGGCAATATAAAAGTTATCGTGAACTTGTAATCCGGTTTTCCACACGATCTTCCATAAGCTTTATACTTTTCTGAAAAACAACAAATCAGTCTTGAAACAAACAATTAAACTTCATTATCAGTATCACATTCAGCAAGTTAATAAAATATCAGATAACAGAATGTACCTATAAGTCAGTGCTATTCATTAGAGATTTTGGATTCCGTTAATAGAAATTCATTTGTAATCTTTAGAACAGATACATCACAAATTAGTGTTATTTACAAATTACTGTAGTTACTGTCATCACAACATACACGCATCGTCCGACTTATGAGGAAAATGCGACTAATTAATGTGGCACAAAGGAGATATGAATGCTATAAATTTTTTATTTAGATTCGATCGCGCGTCCAATTTTCGTCACGTATTTTGCATGAATTACTTTGGACTTATGCCGAGTCAGTCTGTAATGGAGTAGAAATTCAAGAATTAACTCATTATTAGTTGTTATTTGATTCTAGGGTTGTGTCGTATCAAGAACTGGGAGCTTCAAATCCTCATCATATAACTGTGAACGCTTCACAGTCTTATGACATTTTTTTGTACCAAGTTTATGATGTAAATGAAATGTTAATGCTTTCACAGCTCATATTGCCTGAAAACTCTGATTTTAGTATATTTAAGACTTTGTAGTGGCATTGGACAATAGCCACACAATCCACAAAGCTGTGAACACGAGACTACTCAGAAAATAGATATTCAATATTTAACTCGGGGAAATACCTAACAATGGAGAAGGCGCGGATAGTGAATTGAATGGACTGGAGTTGATCGAGTGGCATGGCTCGGCCATGCAGGCGTGGTCTCTGGCGAATGTTACCTTATATCTTCTATTCATATTAAATATATTGTTCTTTCTCTAGCCTAACCTTGTTCTACAACATGTATTGGTAATTGATGCGATACAGTGAGTTGGTGTAGTCGATGGTGTGACTTCCACGTAAGATCTTATAGATTAGGCAGTTATATCATGACAAATCTACAAATTTAGGATTAGGTCTACTATTAGAGCAGTACTAATATCATAGTAGACCATAATTCTACATTGGTGAGCCCAACTAAAGAAACGCAGTCCATTACTGTTAATCCTTATTTCCACCTTAACCTCAATCGGTTTTTATTTTTGTAAACCCAGTATTCGTATAGTCCTTTGATTAATGGTCACATATATTATCGTAATGTTATATCTATTAGTTCACATAACTTACTAGCTCAATCGATTATAAAAGTTGATCATCTATTTCAACTAATTAGCTTTGATGGTTCGTTAACAAGCTTTAATAGCATTTACATGCTTCAGCGACATAGTCTTGTTTAAACATCAAGCTCTAGCAAATATGACCTGTAAATAGCGTGAATATACATTGACTAACAATGCGATCAAGGACTAAATAGTTATCTGGATCTAATTCTCAGTGTTCCTTCACTTAACACCTCATCCTGTTTTAAACTATGCACTATCCTGTAATATCTTTTCTTCCGACCACTGCCTGCCTAATTTCATATTCTCGAGTTCCATTGCCAAACAACGAGGATGACTACTCCAAAAACATACGGTGAGTTTCAGCTATAAGTTTTCTGCAATCATTTTTAGATGGTTCGTTCAATGACAACCATACAATTATCTGGATTC